TCAATGGGCTTTACCACCACACTGCTCAGAACCATACTATTTGCAGTGTGTTTACTGGAACACCTTCTCATATTGTTATTTCATTTCTGTTCTGAAATCAGCAGAATCAGTCTTACATCCTGCACTGACAGACATGTATGAAGGAAAACAGCTAGTTTGTTCACAGAGCAAAATGAATATGTGATTCTATATTTAAAAGGAATAAAAAAAGAAAAAGCCAAACAAGAAATATTGACACTAGGAGCACAGAAGTTACATAGGATTAGATTGTTAAAAATACAGAGTGGTTGCCAAGCATTTATGGGTGCAAAGCTATTAGTGGGCGGAAAAGGTTAGCATAATGGTAACAAGTTGAATTTGTCTTTTAGAAAAGGGAGGGGAGCACAGACTCTAATAACACCTTGTACAGCAGAACTGGCTTTTAGCCTGCATGATGCAACTTTTCATTAACAGCAAGGCTTGATCTGGATCTCCTTCTGATTAAGCAGGCAGCTCAGTACTGAGGCTTGTCTGAAAATTCTGTCTCAACATTCTCATTTAAAGATATATACAAAAGATCTGAATTTTATTTACTGATACGTTAAAGGCATTTTTCCCAGTAATTAGGAATAGAAACTAGAGATTGTTATTCAACTTTGGAAAGCCATTAGGTCTTTAAATATGGTTGCCCAAGGTCAGGATTCTACACCTGGTGAGAAAAGATAAATTTTGTCACGGAATACGTGCTTTCTGGAAAGCTTCCTTATCTTCTATTTTGTCCCTCCGACATTTCCTAGAGCAGAAACAGTCTGGATATAAGCTATAATTTACTTATGTACCAAAGGCATTTTGTCATTTTAGGGCCTTCTTTGTGTTGCTGTCGCTCTTTCTCAGTATCAGATGATACTTCAGAAATTCTAACCTGCCATTCTGAGACTAGAAATTAAATAAACATTCATATGAAGTTTATCCTTCCAGGCTGAAGGGAGAAGGGATTCAAATCTGTTATACAAGTCTAAATTTTTATTAACCCTAAATCTGGGCAGTTAGATTTAGATTCTAACAGCTTGTGATATAAAGATGCCTTAGAGCTAATTATAATCAGCTTCAAAAAGATATCCATAAAGCATGGTTCAAAATATCTACTTAAGCATTTGCTTAAGGTTCAACTTCTGCATTACTAAATTAAGCTTCAGCTGTTCTGCTTTCTGTCCCCTCAAGTTTATCCCTGAAATACTAATCTGAATTTACACAAAAACAAGTGCAAACATGAGTAAGAAAGAACTTTCAAACCCTTTATCTTCTTTCTGCAACTGGACCAAAAAAGTGCAGTTCAACTAACAAAAGCCAGACATTTACTGCTGCCTCTATTACTGCCTCTGTCAAAAATGCAACTAATTTCCTCAGGGCAGAGACACAGATAAGGGCAATTACTCTGACGATTGCTTCTAATGCTTACACTTGACCAATTGCTTTCTGCAGTTGTCACATACTGATTCTAGACCCCAGCTACCTGTGTGACAGCTGGTATGTCTTTACAAGCTTTTCCAGAAGTACTCCTCCTCACTGTGAAGGCCCAGAATTACTTAATCACTACAAATCTACCACTCCCTCCACACAGCTGCACAGAGCTTCTGACTGCTGAAAGAGTCTATAAATGTGGAGATCATGATTTAATCCACTGCTATCTTCAGATAATTATGCTGAATGTATGAAGTGTCTAATTAAAAAGCAGAAGCAATATTAAATAATAACAACAACACTTTGATGAAATACAGTGACTACATCAAAAAAGTCTTCTTAACAAACTAAGTCACACCTACGGCACAGGTATCACCTTGCTGTTACTGAAGGAAGTGAGAAAGACAAAGGCTAGGCCAAAGGTCAATTATACAAACAGCAAAAGTGACTAATGTGTTCAAAGTCGTGCAGTCACTGACTGGAAGTTTCTTATTGCCCATTTCTGCATTGATCATCAAGGAAACATGCCTCCTAAAGCATTAATGCTTTTGGCCTGCATGGGCTACACTGAGTGAAGAGAATGGTCTTGGGCCACATATATGTAGGTTACTCTGAAAGTTATGACTCCTATTTATTTCTACAGAAATTATAACAAAGAGTACAGTAGCACTGTTTGATTGAATAAATTCTCAACTACAAAACACTATTTTTTCACACAATCACCACCATTAGCCATGCATTTTTGCCAGCAATGAACAAAGGCCTGCATGTCGTGCTTGTAAACATCCACACCAGCAGTCACACAACTGTCACTATTGCCACTGCTGAAATGCACCCACCACCTTGTGCTCACATCTGCTGTTTGATCTCCATAAACCAAGAGTTGATGAATGTCAGTGGGTACAATTTTTTCCACATGGGGGGAGTTCAGCGACACACCTTTGCTTAATACATTCCAATGTCAGATGCTGTTCTGTCAGACTGCCCCTCTCTGCCATCTGTCACACGGCAACAAAATGGAATGCGATGTTAAAGGGAAGGTTCAGTCTTTATTGCCGCAACACCAGCATCTAAGTCTGATGTCGTGTCAGAAAATAGGAGGCACTGATTTTGCAGCAGCCCTCGTTAAATGTAAAACATAGTTAATGTATATAAAGTAACAACACTTATTTCAATTTCAATTTTTTTTTTAATTGAAACATACACAAACATGAGTAACAAAAACATAAAACTAGTGCGATATGTGACCTTGTTTTTGTGAAACTAATGCATCAGGCTAGTTCAGTGGCAGTGGATGAAGTTCTCAGTGAGCTCTAAAGGTGTTCAAGTAGAGATTTTTGTTGAAATTTTACTTTTCCCGTACTTTATCCTTGACAATTGTTCTCAACTGTGCATGCTACCAAAAAGCAACGACACAAATAAGGCGTGACTGTGAAGTGACGGGCATTTCTCTCTGTTAAGAGAAGTCTTATAAAAGTCTTGAGATGAAAAAGGAAAGGATAAAATTTCCTTGCAAAATAAGCTGAAACTTTGGAAGCATAAAGAAGGACGGGGGGAAAGGGGGGATCCCTGCAAAACAAGATAAAGCTGAGGAGAAGAGTTTTGGTCACAAGCATCTGGTTAAACAAACATATCTTTGCAAACTCTTGCTGGCTTGACAAGACAAAGAGGAGAGTTAATTGTGCACCACTATTTGGTTATTGCTGAGGGGCCAAGGTGGGACATTCAGAAGGGAAGGGATGTCACCATGATGGTACTGGGCAGGGGGCAGCTGCATTGTGAGCTGTGCTGGGCCTCATGCAGGCTGCAGTCGGACAGGCCTGTAAGCACTGCTGCAAAATACTACTTTGAAGGTCACACTTTCAAATACCATGCAAGTATTTGGATAGAATCAGGCAGAACAATGAAAAACGATGGCAATGTGTATATGAGTGGTAAAAAAAATTTTTAACCCACAAGCAAGAATTTATGAAATTTGTGAAGGCAACATTGTTTGCCATTAAAGTCAGAAGAGCTAAAAAAGATGCATGATTCATAATTCACCCACACACCAGTTTTAGCTCTATTTGAAAACCTTAACTAGCCTCCTTTGCTAGTCACATGCCCTCCTTTAAACTTAAATCAATCTGGTGTTATTTCTAATTGTGGGTATTCTGTTGTATCGTATCAATGGGATTGCACTGACCTTCAAGTAAAACTGCTGGACCACACAACCTTACCCAGAAAGGGGCTGCAAGCTTCCAAGGAGAACTCTCCTCCACTCTGAGCACAGTTGTTGCCTTTGCTGCTATTAATGACTACAATCTGTTGCCGGGGACGGCTTCACACACGTGGTCCTGCCTACACTTGGAGCCTGAACTTTGATGTAGCTGATGAGCAACATGAAACCACTTTTTCTGCAGCCACGGAGGCAGACACCTCAAAATAGCAATCCTGGAGCTTGTCTCTGGGAAGGCTGCAAAACTTGCCCAAGCCAGCCAAGAAACATATGGCAATCGCCCTTACTGCAGGGATACGGGAGCATCATCCGCAATCACTCCAGGCCACCCTTTCACCTGGCCACATGAGACCACAGCTGCGACTAAAATAAGAGCTGCCGAACGGGATAAAACGCACCCAAGGCATTTCAAGGCACGGGCCCGCGGGCTTCTCACAGTGCCTCCCAACGGGGAGCAGAAAAGCACCGCAGAGCTGCGCAGGGACCTCCCTCTGCGCTCCGAGAGCCTTATCTGCAGCTCCCAGACCACCGGCGGGGCATCCCGCGCCGCCACTTCGCTCGGCAGCCACTCAGAGAGGGAGGGCGGCCTGGCCCCGCGCCAAGCCTGCCTCCGTCCCCGCTGTCGCCTAGGCAACAAGGCGAACGGGCAAAAGAGATTGCGCCAGCGGAAGCGACCCCCCGCGCGGGGCGGAGCGGAAGCGGAGGCGGTGCCGGCCGGTGGCGCAGGTACCCCCGGCGCTGCAGTGCCCCGGCCCCGCCCTCGCGGCCCGCCCCGCCCTCAAGCCCCGCCCCGCCTTCAGGCTCCGCCCCTCGACCGCGGCCGCCGCCGCCGGGGAGGCTGCGGGGGCGCCGCGGCGGAGTCGTTAAAGGAGCGAAGCTGTCTTGAAAGGGCCCGGCACTGCCCCGCGCCGCCTCGCCCGTCGCCGCCGCTGCCACCACCGCCCCGGGGCGGGCCGTCGCGGCGGGTGGATGTCCAGCGCCTAGCAGGCACCGCCGGGGCGGGGACGCACGGACGCCATGGGCTGCTGCAGCTCCGCCGCGCAGGTGAGCGCCCCGCGCCCCGCTCTGCTCCTCCGCCGCCGCCGCCCGGGCCCCCCGCGCCCCCGGCCTCGCAGCCCCCGCCCGCGCTGTGTCTTTTTCCCCCGGGGCTCCTCCTGTCCTGGCTCAGCCCTTGCCCCCGGCCCTGCCTCGCTCCGGGCCCGGCTGCTCCCGCCGCCCTTCCCGGTGTGTGGGGCTGTCCTCGGTCCCCCCCACCCCCCGGCCACTTTCCCTCGCCGGGTCCCTCCAGTCGTGTAACGCTGCTCCCCCCGGAACTTCACACTGTTTGCTCGGCCTCCTTCCTGAGGTTGTGATCGTGACTAACGCCGCGACGGTGCCCGCCCGTAAATGTTGGCTCTCAGGTTGCGGTGGCTGGATCCAGCTTCCAGCGGGCTGCTTCTGTTGGAAAGTCCATCTCTGCCGTCCCGGATGACTCATCACAGGGATGAGTTTTTTAAGTCAGCCGTTCAGTCAGTATTCCTCTTTGTTACCGTATTTTTAATCTTTTTTTTTTTTTTTTTTTTTTTTTTTTTAATAAGGATTCTGTCCTTCCCACGCAAAGTGCTGCAAAGCTGTCCAGTTGCAGTAGGAAGCAACATCCTTTCTGTACGGCAAATTTTGCTGCAAAGAGAGAGGCAGTGATCTTTGTGTGGTATGTGGGGAAATGGTCTGGAGTTACAGAGGATGTCGTTTTCCACGAATGTTAGAGGAGATGTTCAGATCATGAGGCCACTGCAGCAGGCTGCTGCCAGGGAGTCTGTGGTTTGAGGTTTGTTAAAACTGTGCTGGATAAACATCTGCCAGGAGTGGCTTAAGCGAGGCTGATACGGACTTTGAGCAATGTGAGCGAGGCAGATGTTTTGAAGTGATGTTTTGAAGTCCCTTCCAACCTCATTTTCTATGATCTGTATCAAAATTCGTTCTTTTAAGCTTTTCATACCCCCCTTTAAGGTGTTTTTTATGAATTTGAATTGCTTGTTCAGTTTATGTCCTTTTCTTAAACGAAAAAGCAGGTCTGTGGTTTTTGTTAGACCAAAAGCAGGGAGAAATAGAAGATTGGATGTTTTAAGTTCTCAGATTTCAAATAACCCACTTTATTTTAAGGTTTTTTTTTTTTTTTTTGTGAAATTTGCCTTTCCACGCCAGATCTCATGATGCTGATGATATGCTGCTGGAACTCTCATTTGCTTTCCTTGTGTGTGGCAAGATGTGGCACAGTAATTGAGCTTAGCATCCTGTCTACGTAACTGAGCTGTATAGAATGGTTGATTATTTAATTCCCTAACCAAGAGCAATTCTGCATCTCCTCAGGAAATGTGAATCAAAGGCTAGTTGCTGAATATTTCATCAGCAACAGTTTTCTCTGGCATATTGTTTGCAGAAACCTTTCTGCCGACAGTGCAGCTCTGCTTTACAGCCTATCGTCTGTCATCTCCTTCCTTTATCATTAACAATAGATGTTGGCTTCCTCTACTCCTGCCTTTATGCCTTCCCCTCCCTTATTTCCTCCAAAGCTTTCCTTGAGATCCATCACATGTTCCTTCATGTTGCCTCGTATCTTGTTTCTCCCTGTTCAGCTTCATGTTAGGCTTTCAAAGTCTTCCTTATCATAACTCCTTATCCTCATTCCTTATGACCTTATCAAGTTCATTTCTCCTTAAGTTTATTCTCCAGCTCCCTAGCTTGTTTGATCTTCATCTGCTAATCCTCATTCTTGTTTCTGAGAGGCGATTACTTGTATTTTGGCTTTGCCAGCCATTTTCTTGTCTAGTTCTGCATCTCCAAGTCCTTTCTCACGACTGCCACCTCCTCATCTCATTGATGTTACTGCATCTACCTGTGACTGGCTGTTGAACCAGGCAGATTTCTTTAGTGTCTTCTCCATAGCTCTTATTTCATGCTCAATTGCCTTTTTTTTTTTTTCTTCTTTCAGTGCATTTCCTGGTTCCTTTGCTTTGTAGGCTGTCAGGAGCTCTGCCTTAGGCTTTTTCCTGTTTTTCTTTCCCTGTAGAATCTAAAGGCTGCAAAAAACAAAACAAACAAACAAAAAAACAGACCTGATTCCAACTGACGTGTTTACCTTTTCTCTGCACTGAGCCTACTACTTTCAGTGATGGATTCCCATGTTTGTTGTCTGCTGCTTTTGCCTTTAATTGCTTAGCCTGACCCTAAATTCCTATTCATTCTGTTTATCTCCAAACGTCTGGGCTTTTGTTTTTTGGTTTTTGTTTTACCTTTTCCTGGATCTTACTCCCTTCCAAATCTTATCGAGTTACTGTCCTCCATTTGTAGAACTGATGGTCAGCTTCAGTCTGCATTCCTTCTTTTCCAAACTCCTGGAACAGGAAGTAGCAATCTAAATTGTTGGATATTCTCTCTTCTTCCTTCATACCAACTTCTTCCAGTCCTTTTTATGTACTTGACTGAAATTTGCCTCATTAAGCTCTCTGCATGCTCCTGGCCAGGCAGCAAGGTTTCCCTTGCTTCCTTACCCTCCTTGCCCTCTCTTGCTTTTGATATTGACAGTAATCTGCATATTGATGCTGTATTCTCACGGGGCTCCTACTGTCCTGTTCTTACTCTTTTCTCTCCACTCTCTGGCTGTTACTTTCTTTTCCCCACCACTGTCTGCACTTTTACTTCCATTTGTTTGTTGTTTCTCCCCCCCCCTTTCATTATCTTTCTCCTATCTTACTAATTTTTCAAATTTGAACTGTTAAAAGTGAAGTCAGCTTAAACTCAGCAGGACCATCCCAGGCTTTCTTCCTGTTCAGCCATTGTTTGCTGCTGGTGCATTGCCATCTTACCTGTTGAGGTGCTTTAATCTGGAATATCCAGGGCTTTTTTTTTCCCCATTTATTTCAATTTTCGTGCTTCAACAAAGTTCTTTCACTACTGATAAACTGTCTTTTCTGATAGGTATTTGTTCTTTATTGTCATAACCCAAGTTCTTGTTCTTTCTCTCTGTTATGGCTGTCATGGTCTATGGTTCTTTAGGTGCTCATGCTATTCTATACTTATTTATGTGGACTTTGCTGTAAGTTTTTGTGCTTACTTGTTTCTCTGCATTTTAAACCGTGAGCTTTTTGACCAAACCTTGTGCAATGCTGGCTAACTTTCCAACTGTGTACTATTAATTGATTAGGATCCTCTTCATGCTGCAGTTTCTTTGAAGTGTGGTTGTAAGGCAGAGGTGCAGTGACTTATTTGAGATGAAAACCTTGTAAAGGGTGGAAAAAAGCCTCACCTTTAATGCATCTCTTGCCTTGCAGTGCTGCTGCATTGTCAGTACCTTCATGCAGTTGCAGCCCAAGGTCCTCCCTCACTGTGTTTTCATCATGAGTTTTGCAAGGTGCTTCTGTCTGGGTGCATCTCTTTCATCATAGATCTGCTGTGGAAGAAACTCTGACAATATTTTAATTCTTGTTTTCTCATTACTCTTTGTTGTTGTTATCCTTTGGAAGTGCACTGAGTTTTAGTGCTGAAGCTCTGAGTAGATAGTCAAATTCCTTATCAAACACTTGGTTTTATCTATTTAGAAAAAATGAATTTGCAGTTGTGGGGCAGCGCTCTTTCAGTTCTTTCCATTACTTCTCAGTGATGTTTTCTGTCTCACTGTACTAGTCCATGATAAATTGAATTTGCAGGAGGTACTACAAGAGTTCATCACTTCTGTCTCATCGTAACTGTCAGTCTCTGCTGTAGACCTGTTTGACTGAAGTAATCCATACAGTTGGTGGTGGATTGTTTTGTTTGTTGTTGGTTCTGTTTTATTTATTTTGTTTGCTTTTGCAAGAAAGCTTCCATGATGGTTTAATTGTGATTGCTCCAGTGGTCTGGTTTGCATCTCTGTTGTAGGGATACAGAGTTCTGGAGTTCGTGGAAGGGGACAAGCTGTGAGACAAAGTGGATCTTCTTAAACTGCTTTTTCTTGGGTTAGCTCCAATATGGAATTCTTTCTCCTTTCCTGGTCTTATGTGGATAAAATGAAGAAGCTGAGTGTAGTTACTAGGTATGTGCTTTGGCATTCTGTTGTAGGATCAGTGTTTGTGCTTGGTCAGGGAAATAACTCTGTGGCCTCAGTGTTTGTGCTTCGTAGCTCTGTGTGTGTGTGTGTATGTATGCATATATATTAATCTTCACATCTTTCTTTGCTGTAAACTTCATGTAAAATGCATATGAAAAGGACTTCAAACCTTGCTGGAAGCTGTAGGGAGGAGTGGGTTAAATATAGCACGAGCTTTAGTAGTGGACTTGTTTTTTTACAAGACCAGAAAAACATTCTGTAAGAAAAGGAGAAGACGGATCATCCATTAACCTTCCTATGGCACTTGATGTCAAAGCATCAAAGAGTAAATTTGGAATTCATAGTTTTTATAATATTTTCATAGTTCTGTTGAAACATAAGCCTCTTGTGAGCTCTTATGGACAACATATATCATTCATTGCACATTAGCTCCAATTGCTTGAAGATCTTGCAGTCAAATTTCTAAATGCAAGGGGAATCAAGACATGCCTGCTTCGCTGCTACTATGAATATGATTGTGGAAGAAGATGAACTGGTTAACGGTGTTTATAGTTAAAAGTAGAATGAGATGTGAATTCTTCCAGCAGTTACAGCATTTATTTTCCTTCTCAGCACCTTGATTGTAGATGAAGTCTCTGGCAAGCAGATGCAGAATGAAGGATGAAGCATGCAAGTAGGATTCAGAAATGGTGCTTTTTAGTCAGGCAACTCACGGAGCTGTTTACTTTTTTTTTTACTTTTTTTTTTTTCTGGTATTTCTGGTCTGTGAACTCCATTTACTCCCTGTGAAGCATCAGGTGTACATTTTACAAATGCTGTCACAAGCAGCTACACAACCTGTGCATATGATTCCTTTTGATCTTTTCATAGAAGGAAATACTTTAACTACAGAGCTACTTGCAAATACTCCTTTTCAAATCCATTGAGTTTTTTTTGCAGAGGCCTAGCTCCTTCTGGAGTGTAGACTGTCTTTTAAGTTATGTCAGATCTTAAAAGGTGTAAGTAACACATTATTTCGTTTGTGAGATTGATAACTCTTGACTGGCTTTTTTTTTTTTTTTTTTTAGCACTTCAAAAGCTGAACACTTGGATTAAGAGCAAGTATAGAGTATTGCATCATTAGAAGATAATTTTTCTGTAAAGAGAGAATGGTTTCAGGAAAGATTGCTATCTTAATGGTGAATGCTAAGTTAAAAGCTTATGGTAGTCTAACTGGCATCTGGATTGCTGTCAGCTGTCAAACTTCCAGGTTGATAATCATAAGGGGTGTATTCAGGATTATGCCACTGACTACTTCTGTTTTTCCTGATGCAGAATTGGCAGTGTTTGTGGTGATGTGGTGAAGTTCCCGGCGTCTTGACGCTTTTATCTCTGAAGGGAGCTTTTCATTAACTTTGCATGCGCTTTTTTCCTTTAGGCTAGTTATAATTTTTGTTCATTTGA